ATAGACAAAGTGTTGTTTTTTCTGAAATAACATACATAAGTACATACCCCATTGAATTAGACTGAAGATCGTCAGCTTGTCTCCTCTTCCTTGTTGTTTCCCCGCTACGTAAGCGCCTGCCAGCACCGTTGACAATCTTCCTCGTGCTACATATCAAACATACCGCGTAGAACCAGCTATCGTTTGCTGCTGAAAGCATATTAACTCTCCGGGTCCACATCAAAATTAATCTGTGTTCCCGTCCTGTACTATTTCTTTGATTTTCCATAGGTGAGCCTCCATCGAGCTGGGGTCAGTTATTCCCCCCCAGCGAAAGGCGCCGTCGCGCGGGATCCGTAAGGAGATTGACGCATATTTTAGCTGACCTAATTAAAAACGTTTTGTTTTTATTTTATGGCACGTACTCACCTCAAGAATACAAGATACGAACTTTTCACCAGCAACAATAATGTCGTAAATCGTCCTACAATATACTTTTATTTATTTCCTTCCTTATTTTTGCCTAAGCTCAAGGGAGTCAGCAGCAGATGTCTTAAAGGGCCGCATGTGGGGCGCGTGTTGCCGGACCCGGCCTCTAAAAGCCATCCAACAAATTAAATGTCAGGTTATTTTGTCAGTCGGAGACAACAACTAGCAAAGTGTTCATATTTTCTGCCGTATCCATTGTCTTTTCCATAGATCGTAGCTAACAACCAATGAGAGGCTCCACCACGACAACAGGCAGGAGCCTGGAGGAACGATTCCTTCTCCTTTGTGCTCATGAACACAGAGAACATCCCACCACCACCGCCGCCTCACCTGTCCTACAACCAGCATCGACAGTTTAGAAGCGGCTAAGTTTCTCGGCTCGATGTACAATGTGGGCGATGGCGACCAAACGCCCAATGTATGTGTTTTCGGACCGAATTATCTGAGGCGTTTTTCAGATCTGTTTCTGAAATGTAAAAAAATATTCCCGCCTCATTTCATTATTCCTGCAGGTTACCAATTCAGGCTCCCCTACCACCTGATTCCCTACTCGAGACGCACCATCAGCTACGTGATGAGCGACGCATGCAAGGCACATCTCGCTCCCTACACCCAGCACTGAACCCACTGCAGCGGGGGCCAGTCTCTACTGAGCAGGAGAGTTTACAAGATTAAGATTCAGATCTGTATCCTGCATGTACATTTGTTATCATTTCTAGGCTGTTCAAATTTCGATGGCTATGACAATGTAGATTTTAATACATTTTTCCATTAAGAGATTTTTTATTACTCTGTTCTATTTAAAGTTGATGATGATTTCAAGAGGCTCTTATTTCGCAATACAAATTATATCTACTTATTACGATGTGTCTTGTATCCATTTCCCACTGTCGTGATCCAGTACTGGCATATTTTTAGTTTTATTTTTCAGGGTTCGTACGGGCCTGCGAATCCTTGAAAATGTACTAGTGTTTTCAAGGTTTGAAAGTGCTTGAATTTTGTAAATGCGCTTTTACTTAGTTTTAGATAAAGTAAATAAATATAAGAAGTCGGAGCGCGACTAAGTTGCTTGCCTTTTACATAAAATAGCTCATGCTCCGGCCTTCCGCCAATCTTTGTTGATTATTGAAACAGATGAAAAACAAACTGCTCCGGACCCTGTCGGTGTTTTCTATTGCTTACTATACTCCTTTACTTCAATACTTTCAGTGGAGGGAGGGGGAGCGGCGCGTGGAAGACAGGATGCGGGTTGAGTGTGCCTCTTCTTCCCTTTAAAGCTTCAGAATAATGTATTTACTCATGAATTTTGGCAATAACAGTTCCATATTCTGAAAGCCAAATAAGCACCCGAAAACTATTTTTATTTACGAAAATCCCGCTTTATTTTTAAATGCTCTTGGACTTTGACGATTTCGATAAAGCGGTGCACAAATAATAATTTTAGAAGGAAATAAATATATACAAGATTCGGATTCTGGGCTTCTAGCCCCATTTATTTTCCTCACTGTACGGTAAAAAAAGCCCAACATATTACGATTTTTACAATAACAATAATCGTGGCTTGATATGGTAAGAACATTGTTTTAATGAACCACACAGCTTCCGTCTTCCAGGAATCGAAACATACTACCAATAGAAATACATTGCTTTTAAAATCGTTCTGCGACACGAAAAAAACGGGGAAATCGTGTTGGTGAACACGAATCAATAGATTACATTTATTTCGTGAAAATAGTTAAAGTAGCGACAGTAAAAGTAGTCATTGTGCAGATTGGTCCATTTCAGAATAATATACAGTTGCAAGAAAAAGTATGTGAACCCTTCGGAGCTACCTGGATTTCTGCTTAAATTGGTCATAAAACAACTCAACTTTGGTTTCATCTGTCCACAGAATATTTTGTCAGTAGTGCTGTGGAACATCCAGGTGCTCTTTCACAAACTTCAAACGTGCAGCAATGTTTTTTCTGGACAGCAGTGGCTTCCTCCGTGGTGTCCTCCCATGAACTCCATTCTTGTTCAGTGTTTTACGTATCGTAGATTCGTCAACAGAGATGTTAGCATGTGCCACTGATTTCTTTAAATCTCTAGCTGACACTCTAGGATTCTTCTTCACCTCATTGAGCATTCTGCGCTGTGCTCTTGCAGTCATCTTTACAGGACGGCCACTCCTAGGGAGAGTAGCAACAGTGCTGAACTTTCTCCATTTATAGACAATTTGTCTTACCGTGAACATCAAGGCTTTTAGAGATACTGTTGTAACCCTTTCCAGCTTTATGCAAGTCAACAATTCTTAATCGTAGGTCTTCTGAGAGCTCTTTTGTGCGAGGCATGGTTCACATCTTGCAATGCTTCTTAAGAATAGCAAATTCAAAACTGGTGTGCATTTTTTATAGGGCAGCTTTAACCAACACCTCCAATCTCGTCTCATTGATTGGACTCCAGGTTGACTGACTCCTGACTCCAATTATCTCTTGAAGAAGTCTTTAGCCTAGGGGTTCACATACTTTTTCCACCCTGCACTGTGAATGTTTACATGGTGTGTTCAATAAAAACATGAAAACATATTGTTTGTGTGGTATTAGTTTAAGCAGACTGTGTTTGTCTATTGTTGTGACTTAGATGAAGATCAGAACACATTTTATGACCAACATATGCAGAAATCCAGGTAATTCTAAAGGGTTCACATACTTTTTCTTGCAACTGTAGATATGTTTTATAATGATTGATCATTAAAGTGTTCTCAAAGCTGGTAAAGGTGCAGCTAGTTTGAATGACTTTGTATACTGCAGGGTAGCTTGTGAATTTACTCCAGGTGGAACAAAAGTCTGATTTAACATCATCATCCACATCTGGTAAAGTAAATAAACGTGTTAAATACATGTAGTGAGTAAAAGTAACATTTACCTCACGTTACTGGCAACCTAAAAAGTAACCTCATATAGTAATGTATGAAAATTATTTGGCTGATTTATATGGGCTCAGGCCAGGATTATATTGGGATTGCCCAGTGTCCCGGTGGTCACTCATTTGAAATATTAAACTTAGGTTTTTTTTTCATGTAGAATGCAATTATGAAACACATTTGTGTTGTCTGTGTTCGTAGGCATATGTCGAACTTGGGTTGTGTGGAGGTAGGGAAATAAATCATGAGTATAAGTATCGGATAGAACGCTGTAAATGCACAAATTTGACTTGGAAGGGTGTACTGATACCCAGTGTAATATGTGTCTGACAAGGCTATAAGAGGCACTTTGATGTATTTCCGGTTGTGTATATTGCAATCATCAGTTATATAACTGCTCTTGGAATATCTCGCGATTCGTCAGCGACCATGCCGATTCCTATCCACCAATTCATATTAAATCTGCCACACCGTGCTTAACTATATAATTTAGAGGTGGTGTCTACTCAAACGTTTTAGTAAAATATTTTCTCAAAGTGTTGTGTCACGCAATGTTCTATATAATATTTTTTTTCCATATCCTAGACTGTTTGACATGGAGTACTGTCATGTATTTGCCTACTTTATTTTTTTTAAGCATCTCTGATGGTGCTTTTCATGATCCTTGGAACTGCAACATTGTTTGAGTGTGGTGATGCATAAGCGTGTCAGTAAGGCAGCAGGAAGCTAGGAATACGTCCACAACTCAACATCTCGTTATCTGACACAGATGACATCCAGGTATAATGTTTC